TATCACGCAGAGAAACTCTGAGCATAGCCCTCTCCATAGCTCGCTGAGCGACCTTGAGCTTCCTCATCCGACCAGCAGTGGAGGACCACGTCTCAGTTCCGTATGTCATCACTGGCAACACGCACTGGTTGTACAGTCTCGTTTTCAAGTTTTGAGGTATATCTGACGAGAAGATGTGCCGTAATTTCCCGAACGCTGCCCAACCCGTTGAACTTATATGTATAATTACTTAAATAAAAATTAAATTTTCACCGGCTTAATTATCGCGACTTTAAAAAAATACTTACCGATCATCTTAAAAAATTAAATTATCACACCACAGAAAACATTCTACGTCACGGAATTAAATAATATATTTGTTTATCAGATTAGAATAGAATTAAATAAAATTACATAAAATAATAATAATAAAAATGCGTACACTTTTAAGCACCTACAATCACACGTACACACATACACTCACACGCGCCCACTCATACACAAACACACACACACACACGCGCACTCACACCCATACACACACAAACACACACACACACGCGCACTCACACCCATACACATACACCCATACACACACACACACACAAACACACACACACACACACACCTACTCCAAATCATAGGTAATCTTGCTCGGCTTATCTCAATATTTAATGTTATTAGGAAGAGCGGTGCCTCCTGACACAGGTATTCTTTTATACTTACTAGGAGACTCCAATTACTTTATTATTTAGTATGCCTTGAGAAAGAAATAAATGGATTTTTAATTTTTAATTTTTTTTAGATGGTGGCTCTGATGATGTTTCAGGTGTTGGAGGCATTTTTTGAGAGATTGTTATAGAACTCAGCACATGCACTTTCTTATTTTCGGGTATTATCTGAAAGAGTAATGGAGTACGAAATTAATTATTAGTTTATTTATTGTAATTAAATAATTATGTACACAAACGGCAGCAGCAGAGTACTTCTGCCGTGCAATTATATTATGTACGCACAACAACAACAAGATGAAAATGTTGCTGAAACAACATGTTTCACTAAGAAACATATATATACTGAAAAATCATTTTTTACTTTGCCTCTGTGCTGAGTCAATCAGCAGATTCTCAGCTCAGCTTAGAAAAGCCAAAAAAAATAGGATTTCGGTATATTCCCTTAAGAAATGTATACTGAAAAACTAGTTTTTTCGGCATCATAATTCATTCATTTTCTTACTTATGCAATGAGGAACTTTGAGGGACACGTTGTAAAACAAATCTCATAGACAGCATTGTTAATGCCTACAAGTTAAAAAGCAATGTGTGTTTGGCTACACTGATTAAAATTCTGTCAATGGCAAATAATAAAAACTGTGTTAAACTTTCAGAATATAAATATATGGCAACACTCTTTCTTGACTTAAGAGCTTATCTTATGACGGATTAGCTTGTGACAAATTATGATTTTATTAAAATCTTTAATAATAAACAAAAAATTAACAAATGATAATAAAAATAATTAACAACAGTTAAGTATTTGCTATTGAGAGAACAGTAACCAGTGTAGCCAAAACACAAATAAAAAACCGCTTTTTAAGGATGTATCTCAACATTTTAAATATATACAAAACAACTAGTTGTCCTATTCAAATTACACAAAGAACCGTTCCCTTAAATAATAAATTAAGTCGTATTAGTACCTTAAATTGCGGGAATGTGCAGTACGATTTTTCAGATTTTATTAGAATGTGATTCTTAAGGTTGCTTATTATACTTAGTATATTAAAGGTAAACATACCACGGGAAAAATAGACTGAATAGCATTTACTTTTAATAACTTTCTTGCTGCTGCAGGATGGGTGGTGAAGTCTTCGAATTTAAAATGCAGGCGACAAACTACTGAATGTTGTGAAATGTTTCCAGATATAATGTTAAGCCATCTTTTTTATTTCTTCGTCTTTTGGAAACCTGAAGCAGATTAGTATATTAAGAATTTATTTATCAACAATACGGCTTACAGAGAATATCTGTTACGAATTATAGCCAAAACATTAATCGACACAAGGGAGGACACTTGTTCAGGTCTCTCATTTGAGACTAAACATTAACGTTGTTGTACTTGTAACTAAGCCCACGTACGCAGAACTTGCAGCGCATCAAATGCGGATTTAATGTTTGACGGATAGTAGGTATCGCTTTGAAAATAAGTCATTATGCGTTGTATACGAAAAATAAATGTGCGCACCAACACTCCCAAGTAACATCGCTTTCTGTTAAACAAAACATTAACTCATTACATAAATCAATTTAGTAATATGGGAAGCTAGAAGACTAAAATAAATATGGACACCCTACTTCAAGCATTACAAAATTATTCACCTGTGAAAAGCCACTTCCTTTGTATGATTCACTTTTGCATCCTTTCACGCAACAAGTGAGAACCATTTTTAATTATTTGGACACGATAAAACATGAAACTTTAAAGTAATTACTGGGCAAACACAATTTACTACCCGATCGGTTCACACTTCACACAAAGTATACGCTATATTGAAGATTGTAAGACACTTAGTGTTGCTTAGTGTTTTGTAAAAATTGCCAAGACTACGACTTTGAAACAAAGCAAGTAGTAAAACACGGTTGGAAAATACGCATAAGTATAAATATTTTCTTATGAAGTCTTCTCTTTAATTTTGTTTAATAATTATTTAGAATTATTACAAGAAGAGAAATAAAAAATATCGTTAATTTCTACTACGTGAAAAAATATTTCACTGTTGCAACTCGATAGACAAGGATGTATTCCTTAATAGAGGCATCTCGCTTAGCTCGTTTTTCCATTGAGTCTAATATTATATGAAAGTAAACTTTACTTCAATAGCATAGAATACATTTTACGTTTGCAACTTCATTAGAGTGCACAATCTCGTTCTATACGAAGTATATTATAATATCTTTGGTACAACATAGCTTGATCTTTTTGCCAATTTTGTGATCGACATAATTTTGCAATAACGAACATAACATTTTCTTATTTTAATAATTGTTAAAAATTTTAAAAATAGACACACATCACAAAAGTATTAAAGATTCAAACATTTTCCGAAAATCTTAGTTGTTTTTATTACTTCAAAGTAAGATTTAAATAGAAAAACTGAAAACAATGGACGCTATTTTTACTTCACCTAGGAAAAAGTTCTGAGGTAACACACATAAAAAATACAGTCGAATTGAGTACCTCCTCCTTTTTTTGAAGGAGGTTTAAAATAGTAAGTAGGTAAATTATCTGAGTTTCAAAGACTACCTTTTTATAATCTTAATTTTTCTCGATGTTGCATATTAAGTCTTTCTCACATTGAACAATAATGTTCCCTCGGTGTATTTCACTACCAACTAATATTAAAGGATTCAATTCGTTTTCTCAAAACACTTAACCCTCCAGTAGGTGCGGCCTTAACAAAGTAGCGTAACGAGCTAAATGATACAAACTTTGACACGCGGACGTAAGGTGCATTTTGATTTAATATGCGCGCCGCAATATATTTTTTTTCGACGAGTTAATTACGAACATTAGCGAAGTTGTAACTAGATTTAAATTTGCAAGTTTGCTATCAGAGAGTGTTCCTTCCTTCCTTCTGTCATATGGAATCTTTTTATGGGGTAATGCGAGTGACATTGAAACTATCATTGTTTTGCAAAAGAGATCCATAAGAACAATTTGTAACTTAGGTCCGAAGGAATCCCTTAGAGAAAAATTTAAAGAAATATATATATATATTAACTTTGGGCTCTCAATATATTTACGAGAATATAATGTATGTACTTAAAAACATAAATAGTTTTATTAAAAATAGTGATGTTTATTCTGTAAATACTGGGAACAAGCGTAAGTTAGTTATACCAGTTACTCGACTCCAAATAGTAACTCCTTCATGGGGCAATGTATACGCTTTTATTACAAAGTCCCAGAAAATATGCAGACCCTTTCTATCAAAAGGTTTAAATTATATATTAAGCAAAAATTGTCTAGTATGGGTTATTATACTACTAAAGAGTACATGACTGATAATTACCCCTGGGAATGAGGTGATCGCTACCATGCTGTTTCTAAATGTTTTCATAACAATTGTATAAAATATTATATTGTAAATTGTGCTTTTTAAAGAAAAGTGCCGTTGGTTTCATGCTGGTTCTTCCCAGGACAGAGGTTTTTTTTTTGCGAACCAGTGGTAAAATTAAATAATGACTTTCAATAAGTATTATATATTGTAATCTATATTGAATAAAATGAATCTATTTTATTCTATTCTGTGGCTATAGCAAGATTAGAGAGAAAATAATGCTGCTACGTAAAGTTCCTAAATATCTTGATTGTCTGTTGTTATTCCTGGTTATATGTTTTCTATATATAAATTTGCGTCACACAAATGAAAAATTTATTAGTTATAATGTAATAAATAGTGCAGTTTTTTTTTAACAAGTTATCTCAAACGCTGGAGAGAGGAGGCACCACTATCAAGTTTTTGCCCCGGTTCAAAAAAATCGTAGATCCGGGGCTTCTACCAAGGACATTTCGCGAGGCTATTGAAAGTTTTCTTTAGGTATGGATACTAAAAATCATGTTACAATTTATCTATATGTACCTGGTAATGTAACGCACATTACTTTGGTACTCCGTGAAACGATTTGTTCTTTGTCTATGTTGCTGTACATCAAGCCTACTCATTGCCGTTTTGCGTCTTGCGTCAGGCATACAGCAAGATAGACAGTGTATAAGACGCTTACGCTTAACGAGTGCAAACGATCCAGATAAAAAAATATTTATGATCAGATGAATGATAACGGCTGGACTATATCATTATCAATTATCCAACTCTGTTAAACTGTGAGATCAAAGCCTCCTAAAAATTTTGCATATATGTAACCCATCAGTTTATAATTGTAAATAATTTTGTAAACATGTATGGGCTGTATAGCCATACATCCTTAGCCTTTAAATATATAAACAAATAAATGTCAAATGTCAATGTCAAATCCACGACGGCTGACGGCGGCGGCTTGTGATATTGTGAACGAATTTGAAATGCGAAATACAAACCAGGGAGTGGATTAATTTAAAGCGTAGTTTATGTTTTTTATAAAATTACTATACAAACAGTGAAAGGAGTTTTAGATATTGTTTAATGATATATGTTACTAATATATTATGGATGACCAAGCATGTCCCCGTTGTAAAACTACAAAATACCGAAATCCATCCCTAAAGTTGATGGTAAATGTTTGCGGCCACGCGTTATGTGAAAACTGTGTTGATTTACTGTTTTTAAAAGGTATACTTATATATTTACAACTTTATAAACAGCCATCTAATTGGTAATATATATAATTTTTGTATTCAAAATATTTTTAGTTAGCATATTAGAGTATTACTGTTTATTATTTTTGTTGTTTATGATAACATTTTCTAGTAGCGCATTATTTTAACTATGAATCAATTAAACTTAACCTTTTTTAGGATCTGGATCATGCCCTGATTGTAATGTGCCCCTACGTCGAAGTAATTTTAGAGTTCAGCTTTTTGAAGATTCAATGGTGGAAAAGGAAATAGATATAAGGAAGAGAGTTCTTAAAGACTACAATAAAAAAGAGGAAGATTTTGCTACGCTGCGAGAGTATAATGATTATTTAGAAGAAATAGAAACAATTGTGTACAATTTATGTAATAATATAGATATTGTGGGAACTAATAAAAGAATAGAACAGTATAAAAAAGATAATAAAGAAATAATTATGAAAAACAAGGCAAAAATAGGTAAAATATTAATAAATAAATAGGTTAAGCTTTAAAAGTTTTAGTTAAATTATGATATTTCTAAATTTCAGGTAGAGAAGAGCTTGAACTAGAAGAGATCTTAGAAATAGAGAAGCAAATGGAGGATCTTCGTCGAGCTGAAATATCCAGATTAGAACAAGAAGCAAAAAAGCAAAAGATAAGAGAGAAAGAAGCACTTATAGATGAGTTAATGTTTGCGGAAGGTGATGCTAAGGATATATTAAATACATTTGCTCAAAGTATTGCTAAAAAGGAAGAAGTTGATGTAGTTCCAATAGTGCCTAAGGTATTGTTATCCAGTATTTTTATATATAACTCCAAGTACTCAAATATTTTTATATATAATATAATATCATATGATGCTTCAGTTATGTATCGGTGGTGCTGTTATTGTTTTCCATTCTTTAAATATATCTTCATGCTATCTTTTATGTTAACTTTAAAAAAAATTACAAAAAGAGGTACCTTGCAGTTTATTTCACCATTTCCTCTCCGGTCATAGGAATCTCATTTTTAAACAATTTAGATTTAGTAGACTTAAAAAAAAAATAGGTTTAATAAACAAATTTTGCAAAAGTAAATAGAATTCATTTTATTTCATTACATTCCAATATTTATCATTATGGAACTTTTAAAGGAATTTATGGTACGTACAGATTTAACCTCATATATAGTAGATGCAGAGCACACTTTGATTTGATAATTATTAAGTATTACTTTTGAAGTCTTAAAGTATAGGAATGTTTGTTATGACCTGAGGAGGTATGGGGAATATCTCTTCAGTGTATAACCTTAAATGTTTTCACCGTGAAGCCAACGCATTACTATGACTGGCCTATTGCCACTTCAGTGTACTGATCCATTGTCATATAATTAATGTTATTTACAGGTAACACAGTTTTCAACTGGCGTGAAATTTTCACGTGGCTCAGGCAGTCAGCATAATGTCCCAGTAATAGAGGAAGGTCCATTATATAAATATGAAGCACCTATTATACCAGACAGATGCGGTCCAGACCCACCGTCTATACAAAATATTATCAATGGAGGGTATCTGCATCATGTTAGGTAAGTAACTAATAATTTCATTCATTCATGCATTAATTATCTATCTAAAATCCACTGCTGAACATTGGCCTTTATATATTTGCCCTAATCGGCCGGCAGGTTTGCAACCACAGCAAATCGTTTTTTATTATTGTAAGTAATTATCAGGGAGATGGTGCTGCCCATCTCCTGTTTCATTTCCACCACACTCTTACAGAATACCAGCGTAAAATAGCAGCTGAACACTACTGTGTTTCGTATGGTGAGTGTAGAGAACCGGAGACCCTTTTTACTGGATAAGAGGCATGCCATCTTAGTCCTCACGGGTGACAACGCATCTGTATTTTGATTCGCAAATGAGGATAAATGTAGATGTCTATGGGTCACACATAGATTACCCCCTAATAGATTCCGCATACAGGGCCACAAACGCCCGCAACACATACTTGCTGTAGCTAGCATACGAAGTGAATCACGACATCAGTATCGACCAAGTTTGTGATCCGTAGGCTCGTCCGAGTTCTTGACAATTTAAAAATAGTTTTGTATCCAAAATACATTACAAATGGCTTCCTGTGCAGTAAAATGGTGTGACAAGTCAGCTAAGACATCCAGTTATCAAAAAGATGGCATAATTTTTAATTGGTAAGTAAATTCTATTCTTATCACGTTAACCTATTTCAAATGCACCGGAGATCAACTTATACTGGAATATTAATGGTGCAAAGTGATAACAATTAAGCACCCGTTGATGTCTTTTTGAAATGTCCCTTTCACTCGTTACGGAAATTACAATAGTTGTCTTTGTCTAACAACAGCACGTGTATCGATAGTGTTGTGATTTTTAAGTCGATATTTGTTTGGTCATGGTTTAATTATTTTTTTCGAAGTCATATTATAAGATTAGTACTAACGTAGATTACACAATAATATCATTAAGTGGTTGAGTGAAACATGATATTCTTATATTTAGGTAAATGTTACACGTCGAAATCAAGCAATTTTTAACGGATTTATAAATCATAAAACTTGTAAAAGTTATAATGTGATTATTGTTTTGACTTGGTATTTAGTGTTACATGAACAGCATACAGGCATCTGAACAGACAGATCTCCAAATGCATGCGGCGGGACTTACGCAACTTCAATACAGCTCGTATTGAAGAAGCGATCGAGCGGAACCAAGGCTCCAAAGTTTTTGCCAGAGATCTGTCTGCCAGAAAGAGCCAACTGTCAAAGCTGAAGACCGAATGTGGCAGCATCGTTTCCGGGACACCTGAGATTTTGAGTGAGATTGAGAGGTTCTATGGGCAGCTGTACACGTCATCGTTTGAGCCACACGCAAGTGTGAGTAACGATCCAAGAGCGAGTCTCATCCGACACTATTCCGAAGATATCCCGGACGTCAGTCTGAGCGAGATTAGAATGGCTCTCCAGCACCTTAAAAACGGTGAGGCCCCAGGCGAGGATGGAATTACAGCGGAGCTTCTGAAAGCGGGTGGAAGACCGGTACTTGAAGTCCTTCAGAAGCTCTTTAATTCCGTCCTCCATGGTGGCATTACACCGGAGGCGTGGAGCAGAAGTGCGGTGGTCTTGTTCTTCAAGAAAGGTGACAACGCTCTCTTGAAGAACTACAGACCGATTTCCCTTCTGAGCCGCGTCTACGTGCTGTTTTCGAGAGTTATTACGAATCGTCTCGCGCGCAGACTTGACGACTTTCAGCCTCCCGAACAAGCCGGTTTCCGAAAGGGCTTTAGCACCATAGACCACATACATACCCTTCGGCAAATTGTACAGAAGTCCAAAGAGTACAATTTGCCACTATGTCTGGCGTATGTGGACTATGAGAAAGCCTTCGATTCCGTCGAAATTTGGGCGGTGCTGCAGTCCCTTCAGCGGTGCCAAGTTGACTGTCGGTATATCGAAGTGTTGAAGTGCTTGTACAGTAGGGCTACGATGGCTATCCGAGTACAGAATCAGAGTACAAAACCTATCCAATTGCAGAGAGGTGTAAGACAGGGTGACGTCATATCCCCGAAACTCTTCACCGCTGCATTGGAAGACGTTTTCAAGCTTCTGGACTGTTTATGTTTATGTTAATGTTTACCTGGGACAAATAGTCCGACTAGGTAAGTCCAACTTCGACCGAGAGGTCAATCGACGGATTCAACTCGGCTGGGCAGCGTTCGGGAAGCTACGACACATCTTCTCGTCAGACATACCTCAAAACCTGAAAACGAAATTGTACAACCAGTGCGTGTTGCCAGTGATGACTTACGGAACTGAGACGTGGTCCTTCACTGCTGGCCGTATGAGGAAGCTCAAGGTCGCTCAGCGAGCTATGGAGAGGGCTATGCTCGGAGTTTCTCTGCGTGATAAACTTAGGAATGAGGATATCCGCAGTAGAACCAGAGTAACCGACATAGCCCAACGGATTAGTAAGCTGAAGTGGCAGTGGGCCGGCCATACAGCTCGAAGAACCGACAACCGATGGGGAAGAAAGGTTCTCGAGTGGCAGCCTCGTACCGGTAGGCGAAGTGTAGGGCGTCCCCCCACGAGATGGAGTGACGACCTGGTAAGACATGCAGGAAGTCGTTGGATGCAGGTGGCTCAGGACCGTGCTTTGTGGCATTCTTTGGGGGAGGCCTATGTTCAGCAGTGGACTTGTGAAGGGCTGTAATGATGATGATGATGATGAATTTCAGTATTATCTTATTATAATTATTAAGTACATCTAAATTTGGAAGACGTGCCGTATGGTGTATTAATTAATAATACTATATCGGTAATGTTTTAAAAGAAACGAATATGTATTTCTGATTTAGATTACTGGTTCACCGCTGAAAGACGCGAAAAACCCGCCAACACCTAAAAATCAGAGTCATTGCTTAGAAACGTTTACAAAACAAAAAAGAAAATTTTCTCCTATACCTGATACGCCATCTGCATTTGATACTCCAGTTAAAAACGTCTTTGTAGAAGAATCATCGAATTAACCAACGTAATGAACAAAAAAGATAAAAAAGTTAAAATGTTAAGTGATTCCAACAGAAGACTAAAAACACAAATAGTTTCTTTGAAGTCATTATTGGTAGAATTAGAAAACAAAAATTCATTAGCAGCGGAAAACAATGACGTATTAAGTTCCTTAGAAAAATTAAAATCTAGAAAATCAGGCAAAATTGTTAGAAAAAAATATTCACCACAATTGAGAGCTTTTGCATTCACCATAAATTACTCAGCTAGGCTTATAATTATGTACGCAAAACATTTAATACTTCTTTACCTTCTGTAAAACACTAGGAAAGTTTGTAGTTTTAACGCAATCAATTAAGCTTAATTATAAGTAATAATAATAATAAAATAATGTGTATATATATATATATATATATATATATATATATATATATATATATATATATATATATATAATAAAAATAATAAATATAAATAAATAAGCATAATTAAACAAATAAATAAGCATAACAAAACTGCTTATTTATTTGTTTGAGTTGTTATTGTATGACGATATTTTTCATGAAATAAAAAAAATCACCAATTCGATCACGAAAGTTGTAATCATGTCATTGATTTAGCTAAGAGTGTTATGGAAAAATACATAGACATACTCGTAAGATTACTCTACTCATCCAGGAAGACAGATCCTAAGAATTCTGTGAGACAATTTTATACGAAGATTATCCATTTTAAAAATCAGTCAAATATATATTTATAAATTAAATGTACAAATATATGTATACAATATTTAATTTACTTATTTAAAAATTGATCAATATATTTATTTATCATTATCAATAATCAATAAATCCCAAATTTATCGATCAACGTCCCAACCCTGTTCCATCACTATGGTTTGGTACATTCTAAGTTTGACCTTTAAACATCCAATCACAGCGCATTTGCCACGTCCCCCGCAACCCTTGCATATGGCCAAATTTGGTGAACTCGAAACAGAACAAATATTCAATGATGCGGTATCTATTAGGGGGTAATCTATGGGGTCACAGCAACCACTTCCTATCAGGTGGACTGTGTGCTCGTTTGTCACCCTATCTTATAATAAAAAAGACAAACGAATATTAGTTTGCACTACTTTCCAGCGCAGCTAGTACTGTGTATATATTACTTTCTAATATTTCATTTACCAATTTTACAGAGCAGAGAACGAAACAGAGAAAGCCGGTGGTTATTCTTCAACACTACCCTGTCTACGTGCCTTACAAGATGCAATGGCTGGCCTCTATCATGCCAGCTGACAAAGCGACCCTATAAATGGGGCCGAAACAGTGATTTTACTGGATTAGAAAACAAGCTATTTATTTGCATGGAATTGTATTCATTTTCATTTTATATTGAAATGATACAGTTAGAATTTAATTTGATTTCAAGAAGTTCCTTTTCTGTTAAAGTGTCCACTCTTTTACCTATTTATGCCACCAAGCGGCAGTGGGCCCAATGTTTAATGGTTTAGAGGGTATTAGAGCCAGGATAATTAAAGCTAGTAAGAAATTTCATTTAAGTCCACTAGTGACAATGCAACTGTGAACTTCTTTGTTTAAACTTGGTTACAGATGTAGCTTGGGCTTCAGTAGTCGTTGCCATAATTTGAACTGCCAACTCGCTTGTCGATTTTTGATTAAAATATACTTGAGAAAAGAGTTAGATTCTTTATATTTCGAACTTAAAATGTTATGACTGAAATAATCGATGAACATGCCGATTTGTCGGAACTTATATAGTGTATAACCTGGTCAAAGTTTGTAAATAAAGAGTGTGAAACTGAAACATAACAGAGGTAATAATTTATTTTATGCGGGTTATACTTCGATAATCTTTACCTTAGCGTCGCATAATCTACTTTATCACACCGTAGCAGTCTTCTTTCACACTAGGGAGGTATTTGCCATTTTCGCCACGCTTGGCAGCAGATTGGCGTTCGCAATACCAGGTGTCTGGCATCTTTACTGCTGATCCCTCTTTAGGTTTACGGCCATCTATCGGCGGCCCTGAACTCTCTTGGCATTTCCTGTTGCCGTCTCTTATGACCACGGAGCAAATACAAAGAGGAGGTGTTGTAATTAGATTTCACTCTATATATCTATTTCCATCTATCGATAAGTAGTAAAACTACTCGCATAGTTCCATATCGATATTGAAATGTAGTTTAGCTACTTTGACGATAGATGGCGGCCTGTTCACAAAATGATTATAAAAACTGTAAAAATAATATTTTGGCGATTAAAAATTCTTTACGACTGAATGTAAAACAAATTTCAGCTCCTACGTATGATGTTGTATGAAAGTTTGAATTTGTTATATTAATGTCAATCAGTACAAGGAATGAGTAAAATAAAGTTGTTTTCTTATTGTTGTCAGTAAAATGTAATCTGTCATTGATTTTTTTAGATATTTTATTGTTTCAATAAAATCTTTTATTTTGTATATATTAAATAGGAATTTATCTATGTCTTGTGTTGAGTTTGAAACTGTGAAAGCCATCTGGTTAAAAGTGAAAATATCACGAAAAAGGAAGCGGAAGGAAAAAGTCATTGTTGTTTTATTTTATATGGCGGTTGCAAGCATAGAGTATTTCTAATTAACCTACGCAAGTTAACTGTGCAGTAACCACTGTGTTGGACGACTGCATGTTCTAGTGATGAATAGTCCCAACAGTGAGATTATGTAGCTCTGGTGAGAGTGGATCCAGCGTCAAAACGTAACTTACTACGATTCTCGCTAGTATTATACAAGACTCCAGACTACCAATGGGAGCCAAAACTGGTTCAAAAATAGAAATAATTGAATTCGGTTTATTTCCTTGAGATTTTCCTCGAGTCTCTGACACTGCTTTTAGGTTAGTAGTAGTTAGGTGGCTATAACCGCGGGCGGGAGATTTTAGGGTGCAGCATTTTGGGATAGAGAGATAGTTTTCGATGGGGTTGGGATTTTACCTGGCTGTTATCAACCATGGATAACCGAAGTTATAAACCCAAATTATAATCCCATCCAAGAAGTATGCACAAACTCTTTTTAGCCTTGTATACGATGTGTCAGATATAAAAATAACACAACATTTCCAGAAAATAGACAACAAATAATTTGTGGTTTTTAGATATATTAGCTCCAGCTGGGAATAGCAACTCAGATGGTTTGTTGTATTCAGGGCCGGATTGAACTCTGGAGGACTAAAGGCAATATGAATGTCGGGCCCCTATTCATTAATTCAACTTTCTAGCTTTTGTTAGTGCTGCTAGGCTCAAAGGTTCAAAGAGCTTGGTTGTAACAGCCGTATGCCAAATATGAAACAAGCGTAAAAGCGAATCTGCGGTACCTAAATTGTCAATTTTATGTATGTTTTTCTGTCTATGGTAGAGTAATGTGTCTAAGGTACACTATGGTGTTTATGGTAGAGAATTAGTTATGCTAGTAATATACTAAGTAACTAAGTCATGGTCTATGGAAATTACGGACCTTAAGAAAGGAGGAAATAGTATTGTCCAAGGATTCGTCCCTCAAGAGAATGATCAATTTTGGTGTGGTTTGCGCGTTGTGTTGAGGGCGCACTTCCTGCGAATAAATGATGCATAAAATGTTTGGAGCAATGTTTTTCAAGAACTTGAGTCAAGTTGTTTCTCGAATACCTTTTTCTTAAAGTTTTACCTATTTATAATGAAAAATGGGCAAACGTTAAAAATTATTAACTTAAAATTTAATAATATATATAAGGCATTTTGTTACTAATGTTATGCATTTACAATGTTACGAGTAATTTGTATATACATGTGAGTAAGAGGTGCTTTTACATGGACGACAGTCGGTGACTGATTGCTGTCTATATATATTACAGAATAATTTTTGTATAGTTGGGAGTTTATAAAGTATCAGAGAGAATTGCCGGCGTATGCTGCCGCATAACACTACACGGAATTCTTAAGTAAATTGAATAACAAAATTTGTATTGATTATGAATGCACTTTCTTTGCTTCACTATTTCGTAAAAGGGCATAAAATTGACAGATTCAGTGTGAGGTCACAAAACAGCAACAATGCTTCTTTAAAATCATAAAATATACAGGTATATATACGTTACTTGCTTTCGAATTGAAATAGATACAGTGACGATGTAACTGGCACAAGTCGTAGATGGGAGTGTCGTTCGTTTCAAAGCGCCCTAAGGTATTAATCGTTTTCATAAAATGTATGTGCGTTGAGAAAAGTTATCTTAATAAATAAAAGAAATTTTTAATTAAATAGTTTTATTTTAAATACCTATTACGTTAAACCGATGACTTGTTACTACCTATGTAGTAATATGTATGAACATTAGCAGCAATGTACACAGAATCGTCATGGTCAATAATGACAATTATCACGCCTAGTGTCAGTAAGTTAAAATTACAATGGGCCGGGTATACAGTTCGAAGAACCGACAACCGCGGATAAGAACGGTTCTCGAGTGGCACCCTCGCACCGGTACGCAAAGTGTAGGGTGGCCCCTTACTAGATGGAGTGACGGTCTGGTACGACATGCAGCAAGTCGATCGATTCAGTCTCAGGATCGTGTTTTGTGGCGTTCCTTGGGATAGGCCTATGTTCAAAAATGAAATTTTGAAGGGCTATAATTATAATGATGATGTTGATAATGATGATGATGACGTTATGCCTAGTCTAGACAACCCGATAGGTTGATGTTACCAGGGGTTTGCGGATATTTATATCCGTATCGACAATTGCGAAACTTTTGGATTATGTTATTAGACATACGCTTCCACAATAATGCGGTGATTTTGCAGATGTTGACGTATTACAAGGTGCGACATCAAATTAGACAGAGGCCAGCGAGAGGTAACCACCAATACACTAATTCGCGCAAATGTCGTCGCGAATTAGTGCATTGCAGTGAGAGGTACCTTCCGCCGCAATGCACAAATTTTTAAATTTCAATAGTATTGATTATCAAATTAAAAATAATATAAAATGTGGTTAAACTATACCTATCTTATAAAAACTAGAGATCCGCTTCCGCATTCGCGGATGTAGGTAAGTCTCCAAAAATACGTATCCACATTCGCATCGTGGATAAAAAATTAAGCATCTGCAACGTCGTTACTATTTACCTATTTCTGCCGCTAAGCCGGAGTTCACGTCACTACTTCTCTACCGGTTTGAAGAGCAAGATAGTATAATCAAAGAACGTTGCGTTTTTCGTACGGCTCGTAGAATTAGATGCAAAGTAGGTATATGTACTAACAGCCGTTTCTATAGCAAGATACCGTCTTTAAAGAACCGAAGACTTAAAACAAACGGGTGAGAGGCTTCAAATTAAAGGAAGGTACGAAAAACCTGTAACGTTCCTCTTGATTGAATAAAACTATTTTTTACGGATTTTATAGCGTTTAATTTACTAGTTTAATTGCCGACGTTTGGGGTGCTTTGCTGCAACCCATGGTCACGGGGGGGGGGGGGGGGCGGACTGAGATGTTTGACGTCCCGAAGTCACAGTTAGCCTGGCTACCTTCAGTTTTTTAATATTAATTTCCTCTTGATTATAGGAACCTAGTGTATTTATAATTTTTAAAAAACCTGTAAAGAATTTGCATTATTTGCTACATTGGCGAGGTGGAAGATCGTGGACCTCTCAAATGATATTCTTGTCCGAGTCACTGGCTGGTTTCGTATCCCGGGTCAGACCAAAATTAATTATTGGGTTCCTCTGTCAAGAAATTTTCAATAGAAGTCTTAGTCAGGAAGTAGGCAGTGTTTCACCTCGTACCTCGAAAACTCGTACAGCTGTTTGCCTCGAGCTTTATCTCACTCTGGTCGTGTCTGATTGGTGTCCTATCAGGCTATCAGATTGAGGTATTCCTCACTAATCAAAAAAAAACTCATTTGAGAGTACACCTGTGTTTGCGCATACACTTGTGTACTTTAATTCTGTTCTAGTGCGGTGGCTAGTCTCCGCTGAGATATATTTTATACGTGGTAGAGCCATGCTGAAGCTATATTAGTAGTATAGTTGTAGCACGAATGGGTCGGCTCGACCGGGGAAGGACCACGCTCTCACAGAATACCAGCGTAAAATATCAGCTTGACACTGCTGTGTTTCGTATGGTAAGTGTAGAGAACCGGAGATCCATTTTACTGGAAAAGAGGCATTCCATCTTAGTCCTCGTGACCAATATTCGGTTCAGAAGATATTACATTATTCATTTATCCCTTACAACCTATAAATCTGCTAGGCCACCCCAATCTATAG